GATTTTATTTATTGATCCTACCGCAGTGCCCTAAGTCTCTCATCCTTATGACCAAGACTTAGTTAAGACTAACCCGGGGCGAGTCAGTACCCTAGTTACGGGTTTCGCGCCTAACCAACGTAAACCGGGCGTCTCACTTGGGTGAGTCCGTTACCGATCTAAATTGGGTTTGACGAGTGACGGGGCGTCGGGGTGGCACAGACTTAAAATTATGAGGGATTTATAACGCAGTCTTGCCTATGGCATACACCGCGCGTATGCACTATCGAAAATCACATACATGCATACATTCAATCATACATCACATGCATAATAAGTAAACGTGAAATGATTGTCGCTCCTAAAGAAAAACAAACGATAGCGCTTTGATCAAGAGATCTCTATCTCCGGCCCATCACGTCTTCCTTAGGATTCTCTATCACGAACGGACTTCGTCTTCTTATCTTCTTATAATTTTCGAGAGAAAAGAATATTTGAGGTAAAGAAGAGAATTACATCCAGAATATAGAGATGAGGCACGACACGCAGACCGTATTTAAAATTACAACAAATATAACTAAGCCACAATCATCCACCATGCAATAATACATACAAGCATCACATGCATCACATCATACATATTAAAGCATACACCGGGCGAACCGCGCTCGCCCCAGACCTAGTTTATTCTATTCTACGGAATAAACTATCAACAATAAATTAATTAAACTAGCAAGTTATTTAATTAAAATCATAAAATACTTTAAATTTCCAGAATGTTAGAAATTAGATTTTCTAAATTCCAGAAAATAAAATGTTTTATATTTACCGTATTTATATATATTTAAATTCGAAAAAGGGCTTTTATTTCGAATTAAATATATATATGTTTTCTAAATTAGCAAATAATTATTGGAGACTCCCAGTAAACTTTATTAATCTGGAAATCCTAAAATTCCAGAATGAATAAAATTTAAAATTTTGAAAACCATTTTTCAAAGATAGAAAACAAAAATTATATTGTGAAAATATATTTTGAAATTCCAAAAATATCCAAATTTATTTTCCAAGTCAAAAATAAGTTCCAGAACCAGAATATGAGTTTTCTAGAATTTAAAATATTTATTTTGCAATTTAAAATAATTAAAAATCGGACTAGTGAACAGTACCGATCCAATTACTTCAAAAATACAAAATAAATACTTTTACGTGTTTAAAAATTATGAAAATTTTTATACAAGCTTAAAATCTCTGGTCGCAACTTATTATGAATTAAAATTAATTTTTGATCGTCAAAAATATGTTTTCCTATTTTCTATTCAATAAACGAATTTAAAAATAGAAAAATAGGAAATTAATTCCAAAAATCGATTTTAAAATTTCTGAGTTATATTGACATGTCAAATACTTCCCAAAAAATATAAAATCTAATTTTCATAAATATTAAGTATTTATGGCACAAATAACAAGTATTCTACACATAAACTACTTAATAAGAATAATATAAAAATACCCCAAACAGTAATTCCTAAAATTACTAAACAAAATTATATTAGGTCCAGTATCTAAATATGGCCACCTAATTAAATTTTAATGGGATAAATTTTTGTCTCCAAAATTTATTGACTAATCTACAAAAACAATAACGGTAAAAACTACTAAACTAGTAACTTCGTAAGCCGGCTCCGATACCACTGTTGGGAAACGAGACTTGGATAACGCAGCGGAAAA